TGGGTGAATGAGGCATGTTGTATAGAGCGCTTTGAGTACTCCGGGAGAGTAGAAAAGCGCTATATAAGAATCAGTCCATTTACCATTTACCATGTATTGGCCCGTGATGACAAGCCGGGAAGGTGGTAACCAATTGGTATTTTCCGCGTCCTGGAGGGGAACCGGTACCAAATACCGGAGACGTTCTCTACCATGGAGCGGAAGAAATCCCCTCTGTCAGGCGCATTTCCTTTTTGCCTGGACACCAGACCTACAGCCCCTTCTAGACGATCTCCTTAACCTTATTTTTGCTCCTGGGTTTTTGTTTGGAGCTAAGAACTGGTACCGGTAGTCGGGAGAGGGAGCAGGGCAGACAAACGGCGGAGGGAAAGCCTTGTGGTAGCTCTTCCAGCTGTCAAAAGTTTATTCCATACATATTTTGAAACTCAACAATGTATGTTTCATGATATATCACAGATGAGATGACAAGATAAAAAACAATATACTGAAGCAGTCGACAAACAGCAGCAAGAGCGGCCAAGCCGAACACAGGGGCCATGTTGATTATCCGGCTAGACTAGTGTGTCTGACCCTGAAAATATTCCTGCATGTGTGATTGTTCATGTCTCTTGTACATGAAACAAAAATGAAGTGAGTGAAGGAAACAGGAAATGTTTCCAGCTCTTCCGTCTCTATCAGAGATTCTCTCCATACCTGAGAGTGTCCAGTCTCCAGCATGGATCCTTCAGTCCAGCCGACAGCAGCTTCATTCCTGAGTCTCCTGGATGATTGTAGCTCAGGTCGAGTTCTCTGAGGTGGGAGGGGTTGTTGCTCAGAGCTGAGGCCAGAGAAGTACAGCCTTCCTCTGTGATCAGACAGCCTGATAGACTGCACACACACAAAACAACAATCCATTTGTCAACAATGATTTTCTCTTTGTCACATAAAATAACATCTATCCGTTTACATCCATTCAATTCAACTTTATTTACAAGTAACAACTCCAAACAGACAAAAACAGTCATCTCAAGCTGTTTAAATGGACTGATTCTTATATAGCACTTTTCTACTCTCCCGGAGTACTCAAAGTGCTCTATACAACATGCCACATTCACCCATTCACACCCACTTATACAAGCACTTTTAAAGCCAAGTGCAACTAATAAGCATTCACACACAGTCACACTCCAATGAACGCATCGGAGGGAAATTTGGGGTTAATATCTTGCCCAAGGATATTTGGCATGCAGACTGGGGGAGCCAGGAATCAAACCACCAACCTTCCAATCAGTAGCTGATCTGCTCTACCACCTGAGCCACAGCCACCCCAAACAGTGTAAGGTTACACCCTACAATATTCGAGTTTCAAACATCATACAATCCGCTGTGAGCAGCACTTGGTGATGGTGGGAAGGAGGAACTCCCTTTTACACAGGCTCCAGGAGGACCATCTACCATAACTGGTTGAAGGGTGAGGGGAAAGAGAAGAGATAAGTTTGGAGAGACAAGAACAAAACACAAACTAAGGAGAGAGAAGACAAAAGTTAACAACATGCAGTCGTGACATATAAAAGCATCAGGAGTGAAAAGAGGGGAGCAGAGAAGAAAGCAGAGGATCATAGGAAGTCCACCAACAGCCTGAGCCTATAGCAGCATAACTAAGGGATGATCCAGGGTCACCTGATCCATCTCTAACTATAAGCTTTATCAAAAAGGAAAGTTTAAAGCTGATCTTAAAAGTAGAGAGGGAATCTGTCTCCTGAGCTCAAAGTGGGAGCTGCTTCCACACCAAGTTCAACACAGCCAGGCTTTCTTAGTGTTAGCTCCTTTGACAAAACCTCAAATTTTTGAGGAGCCGACGAGCACGCCGGTGCAGCCCCCTCTAGTTTCTGCCCGGTGGCTACTGGGTGACCCCTCG